ATGAATGTCAAACCGGCTAGGCCCAGAGCTGCTATGAGATTTCGCCCATTATCGCACACCAACAGGCTGGGATTGAGGCTCAGTGGCAACAACCACTGATCGGTCTGTTGTTCCATGCCCGTCCCCAGCTCCTGCGCCTGCTGTCATTTCCCCCTGGCTGTGCTGAAGTTGGTGGTGAAGGTGTTACGCTGAACAGAGGATGAGGTGGTAGAGGAGGAAGCAGGGTAGTAAGAGGAGGAGGCAACAGGAGGCAAAGAGAAATGCCCTGCAATCCTCAGTGGCGGAAGGCCCAAACTAACAGATGGTTTATGTCAGGCGACAATGTAACCGCCAATAGTCAACAATTAAGTTCACTGACAGTAAGGCAGTGCCCATGTCCTAAAGAGAAAAAAATTATATAGGTCACACAACAGTGTGACAGGCGTAATTAATACAGTTACTTCACTGTCTCAAATAAGTGTGATTTTTTTTTAAACCAACAATGTAAGAGTAGTATTTAAGGGTTTTATTGGACTGCAAGAAATGCACCGCGGGCCGCAAATGTTCTATTTAGCACAAAAATGTGTGATTTTTAAAACCAACAATGTAATAGTAGTATTTAAGGGATTTATTGGACTGCAAAAAATGCACCGCATGCCGCAAATGTTCTATCTGCATAATAAAGTGTGATTTTTTAAACCAACAATGTAACAGTAGTATTTAACGGTTTTATTGGACTGCCTGAAGTGCACCTCAGGCCGCAAATGTACTATTTAGCACCCAAAAAAGTTAGAATTTTTCAAAGTGCGATGTAACCACAGTATTAGATGGTTCTATTGGACTCTCAGATATGAAGTGAACCCCACCCAAAAAAATTTGAATTTTTAAAACTGTGCTGTATCCTCAGTATTTGACGGTTCTTTTTGACTCTCAGATATGAAGTGCACACCCCAAATGTACTATTTAGCACCCAAAAAAATTGTATTTTTAAAACTGCGCTGTAACCACAGTATTTGACGGTTCTATTTTACTCTCAGATATGAAGTGCACCTCAGGCCGCAAATGTACTATTTAGCACCAAAAAAATTTGAATTTTTCAAAGTGCGATGTAAACACAGTATTTGACGGTTCTATTTGACTCTCAGATATGAAGTGCACACCCTAAATGTACTATTTAGCACCAAAAACATTTGAATTTTTAAAACTGCGCTGTAACCACAGTATTTGACGGTTCTATTTTAATCTCAGATATGAAGTGCACCGCAGGCTGCAAATGTACTATTTAGCACAAAAAAGTGTGATTTTGTAAACTTACAATGTAACAGTAGTATTTAAGGGTTTTATTAGGCTGCAAGAAATGCAGTACGCAAATGTACTATTTAGCACCAAAAAAATTGCAGTATTTAAAAATGCCTAGATGTTGCCCATTGAGCTACCAGAACAGGATTAAAGTAATGTGCCTGGCACACATGCAGTTGCAAGTGCACTGCACTCTCTGTGGCACTGTGCTTAGGGGAGGGTACAAAAATGTTGTATAGCACCCACAAAAATAATCGCTGTAGTTTGCAGATTCAACACCAGAATTCTTTCCTAATCTGTCCCTCACAGATGCAGCATCCTCTCCCTACACTAATAACAGCTCATGTGATGTGCGGCGCTACATGACTCCAGCTTATATATAGAGGCTGGGTAACATGCTGCACTGGCCAATCACAGCCATGCCATTAGTAGGCATGGCTGTGATGGCTTCTAAGGGCACACAAGTCAAACGCTTGTTGATTGGCTGCCCTGAAGCCTTTCAAAACGCGCCATTAAATCGTCAAACACCGAACTCCAACCCGAACATACACTGAAATGTCTGTGTTCGGGTTCGGGGTCCAAAAACCGTAATGTTCGGTACAAACCCGAACTTTACAGTTTGGGTTTGCTCAACTCTAGATGTGAGATATAGTCTGAAAACCATTTGTGAATGAATACAAGGGACATGTTTTAACAATTTGTTGGCTTTAATAGAATTGTTCTCGAGATGGGGTCATTTTACAACAAAGAATCAGTTTGGAAGTTTATCAAGGTGACCATTGTACAATATCACACATATTTAACCCCTTAGTGACCAGACCATTTTTCAATTTTCTTACTGTTAAGGACCAGGGCTGTTTTTTACATTTCTGCTGTGTTTTTGTTTAGCTGTAATTTTCCTCTTACTTAATTACAGTACCCACACATATTTTATACAGTTTGTCTCCCCACTAAATGGTCTTTCTAAAGATACCATTATTTTCATCATATCATATAATTACTTACTAAAACAATTATAAAATATTATTTTTTTTTCAACACACACTTTTCCTAACTTTGACCCCCAAAATCTGTTATGCATCTATAACTGCCAGAAAAAAAAACATGCTAAATAGTTTCTAAATGTTGTCCTGAGTTTAGAAATACCCAATGTTAACATGTTCTTAGCTTTTCTTTTGCAAGTTATAGCGCTATAAGTAAAAATAGGATATTGCTGTGTCAAATTATATATTTTAAAAATGTATCAATAGTGACATTGTAACATTGTTATCTGTCATAAATCTCATAATCACACCTCACATGTACATATTTTTTTAAAGTAGACAACTCAGGGTATTCAATATGGGGTGTGTCCAGTCTGTTTTAGTAGCCACTTAGTCACAAACACTGGCCAAAATTATCATTTATATTTGTTTGTGTGTTAAAAAAGCAAAAAACAATTATGAAAGCTAACATTGGCCAGTGTTTGTGACTAAGTGGCTACTAAAAAAACCTGAACATACCCCATTTGCAATACCTTAGGTTGTCTTCTTTTGCAAATAGTATGCCATCATGGGGGTACTTCTCATTCCTGGGCTACCATACGCTCTCAAAGGCAGCATAACCAATCTGGCAAATTTCAATGTGAAAAAACGTAAAATTAAGCCTTATATTTGACCCTATAACTTTTAAAAGCAGTATAAAACCTGTACATGGGGGTTACTATTATACTTGGGAGACTTTGCTGAACACAAATGTTAAAGGACCACTATAGTGCCAGGAAAACATACTCGTTTTCCTGGCACTATAGTGCCCTGAGGGTGCCCCCACCCTCAGGGACCCCCTCCCGCCCGGCTCTGGGGAGAGGAAAGGGGTTAAAACTTACCTTTTTCCAGCGCTGGGCGGGGAGCTCTCTGCCTCCTCTCCTCCTCCGATCCTCCTCCTGGGCTGAATGCGCATTTACAATGCTTTCCTATGGACGCTTGCGTGCTCTCACTGTGAAAATCACTCATCTCTGAAACTGCTATGTTTATAAAAAAATGGTTAACCCTAGAAGGACCTGGCACCCAGACCACTTCATTAAGCTGAAGTGGTCTGGGTGCCTAGAGTGGTCCTTTAATGTTTCAAAACAGTAAAACGTATCACAATGATATCATCAGTGAAAGTGCTGTTTGTGTGTAAAAAAAAAATGCAAAAAATGTCACTTTCACTGACTTTATCATTGCTGTGATGTGTTTTACTGTTTTGAAACAGTAATATTTGTGTTCAGTGAAGTCTCCCCAGTAAAACAGTATCCCTCATGTACAGGTTTTAGGGTGTCATGGAAGTTACAAAGTTTAATGCAGTGCTAGCAAATTAAATTCTCTGGACTTTTGGCCTGGGTTGTCAGGCAGTCCCTCAAATTACAATCAATAAAATCACTTAATTTTGTAAAAATGTTATATAAATATGCACATAGAATTTAAATATACATATTTATATATTTAAAGTCTACATGTATATTTATGAAATTATTTATGTAAACATGTATATGTGTGTATATATATTTATATATATATATATATATATATATATATATATATATATAAATATGTGTGTGTGTGTATATATATATATATATATATATATATATATATATATATATATATATATATATATATATAACATTTACATTTTAGAGTGGCCTTTTATTGTGGCCAGCCTAAGGCACACCTGTGCAATAATCATGCTGTCTAATCAGCATCTTGATATGCCACACCTGTGAGGTGGATGGATTATCTCAGCAAAGGATAAATGCTCAGTAACAGATTTAGACAGATTTGTGAACAATATTTGAGAGAAATAGGCCTTTTGTGTATAAAGAAAAAGTCTTAGATCTTTGAGTTCAGCTCATGAAAAATGGGGGTAAAAACTAAAGTGTTGCATTTATAATTTTGTTCAGTGTAAATATAATTCTTTGAAAAATATTTTAAAATAATTTTTACATTGTTTAATTTATTTTTATTTACTTATTATTTATATTTTATAATATATACATATATACAATATAGGTATATATAGTTAGTATATATTTTATATATACACGTGTGTAATTTAATTATAAGTGTATTTTTATATTAATATATGTATATATATAAAAATACACTTAGTATGACATTAAATATATAAGATATACAGTGGTATCTCGGTTAACGGACGCCTCGGTAAACAAAAAATTTGGTTTACGAATGAAATCCATTGAAAAAAATGGCTCGGTTTACAAATTATTTTCGCAATACGAAGCAAGATTCCTGGTTTATAGCGCAGCCCCCTACATACTGGAGTCTGGGTAGAACGTGAGTGTGGAGATGTTGGAGAGGTTTTTGCAGCGAGTTTTGGAGCCTTATGGAGCCATTTGCAGAGGTTTTGGGATGGCTTTCTCAAGAGGTGGAAAGGTAGGGAGCTGAGCTTAGTTGTTTGCATGCCTGTTACTGTGTGATCTGCATTGTGGGTTGGTTTCCATGCCAGCTCATGTGGGTGTAAAGCATTTTTTGTATTTTCTGCTCACTTAGTGACTGTGGTGTAATGGCACCCAAGAAAGCAGCCGAAGCTGGCCAGAGGAAGAAGGAGAGGACTCTGCTTGAGGTCAAGAAAGAAATCATCAGGAAGCATGAAGAAGGAATGCAACTGACTGACCTCACCAACGAGTATGGAGGAGAGCATCTACAATCGCTACCATCCTAAAGAGAAGATAACTGGGAGAGATGCAGCCAAGGGAGTCACCAGGGTCTCCAAGCAATGGCCACTTGTTCTGGAGGAGTTCGAAAAGTTGCTCCTGCTCTGGATTGAACATGAAACACAGTGACCGAGGTGATCATCTGCGAAAAAAGCCAAGGCCTTGCATGCTGACCTCCTCAACCAACAGCCAGGAATGTCAGCAGATGCAGGCTTCAAGGCCACCAGGGGGTGGTACGAAAGGTTCAAGACCAGATCTTGCATTTACAGCGTGTCAGACATGGAGAGGTTGAAAGTTCAGATGTTGCTGCAGCTGAGGAATTTGCTACTAAGTTCCTGGAGGTGATAGTTTCAGAGGGCTACCTTGCTCATCAGGTCTTCAACTGCGAAGAGACTGGGCTCTTCTGGAAGAGGATGCCAAAGTGTACCTTCATCAAGGAAGAGGAGACCTCATTGCCTGACCACAAGCCGATGAAGGACCGTCTCACCCTCCTGTTCTGCGCCAATGCCAGTGGGGACCTTAAGATCAAGCCCCTGCTTGTCTACCATTCAGAGATCCCACAGGCCTTCAAGAAACACAAGGTGAACAAGGAGCAGTTGAGCGTTTTGTGGCGGTAGGGTTAGGGTAAGTGCCGAACTGAAGTGCAGAATTGCTGAATTGCCGAAGTGCCCAATTTCAGAAGTGCCGAGGTGCTTCAGAATTCTGAAAAGTGGCAAAACAAGAGAGGGAGATAAAATTACAGGAATAATGACAGGAATCTAACCCTAGCCCTACCCCTAGCCCTACCCCTAACCACTAATCCCTATCCCTAACCCTACCACCAAACCTTACCCCCAACTACAACCCTAACCCCAACCCTTACCCCACCCCTAAACATAGATGTGTAAGTGGTTATGGCCCATCCCCGATGACCCCGGTATTAAGGAATAAAGTGTTTATGCCAGGACTGAGGGCTAGGGATTTTAAGGGCATAGAGGACATGGGTCTTCAATGCTACATTCATCTATAAGTTAACAATGAGATAGTAACGTATGAACACTTAAGATCACTTGCCCCACTGGGTACCCGAGAATTCTTTCGCTATATACAGCTCAGGGATTTTGCACGAACCGCTGAGGTTAGGACAGCGATAGCCAAACACTTGACCTTTTTTGAAAACCTATTCCTTAAGGAATCTATGCCCGCGAAACTAATATCCTTACTCTATAACCACATCAGTTCAGAATCCGGGGAATGGGGAACACTAAAATATACAGACCCATGGGAGGCAGACTTGGGAGAAATGCTAGAGGGGACTTATTGGCAGGACATGTGGGAGGCCTGTAAGACAACATCCATATGAACCTCCTTACAGGAACAAGCTTACAAAACGCTATTTCGGTGGTACATGGCCCCTGTCAAACAATGCCCCATGAAGATCTGTCCAACAGATACCTGCTGGCGCCTGTGTAGGGAAAAGGGCAACTTCATACACATGTGGTGGCACTGTCCCACAGTTAGATAATACTGGCGGGGGTGGTAGACCTGAGCTTGTGGGTCCTACAAAAGAGACTAACACTTGACCCATGGGCATGCCTGCTGTCCAGACCCACGGAGAGGCTAGACAAATACAAACAAAGATTATTGAATATGATCTACTTAGCAGCTCGCAGAGCGTTAGCTCAACATTGGATAAAACCTGAGAGGCCCCAGCTACTGGTACCGATGTGTGCCCTGCCCTGCGGACAAACGTACCATCGGTGGCATGGCGGCCACCAGCTGAGACGAACCCCAAGGAGACAATATACACACCTAGAGCTACGAACCCCATTTGGCACACCCCTGATGGTGTAATCAAAATGAAAACATAATATGGTAAAAGCACATTACTGTTGATGAATTGATTATTTGAAAAACATCTATGTCGCTGACACAAGCGGGCAGGCTGGGGGCGCTGTGGGTGGGAACTCGGGAAGTTATTCGGCGCGCTACTGCTTGGGCCCTTTTGGGGGGACCTGGGCCAAGGTCATGGCCGATGGCTCACAAAGGAGCCCTGGCCAGGGGACTCCCGGGGATGCCCGTGGGCACGACCGGTGCCGCCGAGCCGGCTTTAACGCAGCAACCAGGAGACCTAGTGCCATATATGCCAGATCACTGAAGTGCTGGACCTTTTATCTCACCTTACCTTACTTAGATTTATCCTTATTCCTTTTACTATGTTTATATTTATGTTTATGTTATATCTATATAATATAAAACCTTGACAGATGGCAATCACATGCACACTATTGCCTGGCTTTTGCACAAGCCATATCTTATCGTACTACTGCTTACTCTGTCATTGTAAAAAAAAAAGAATAAAAAACCCCCAAAAACTCTAGACAAGGGAACTTTTCCGGCGATGCTTTTTGATGACAGATCTATTAAGCCTCACCCTTAATTAATTTTGGAGATAGCATTTTGACATCATGAGCTGTCTGCAGATTATTATCACCAAATTCTGCTTGGCACAACCTGTGGCCAGACTGTGTTGTGCAACCTGCCTCTGATGCTTCTGCACCTGCAGCAGAGTCAACAGTGTTGGAGGAGATTGTTTCTTTGGGGAGGATCATGGGCCTGGAGGTGACTAAGGAGGATGCCTGTGAGCTGATGGAGGGACACAACCATGAGCTAACCACCAAGGACCTGTTGGAATTGCAGAAGGAGGCGATGGAGGAGCAGATCTCATTTGAGGAGGAGGAAACGAGTGAGCCAAATGTGGGTGAAACCTACAGATTTTTATACAGCAGCACCACCCTGATAAGGCTCTAGCCCAGAGACATGTGAACAGTTTTGACACCGACATCATGTCCCCTTTACCAGGGATGCTTAAAAGGCGCCAGAGGCAGCAGACAATGGAAAGGTTTCTACAAAAACAACCTATACATGAAGAAGAACCTGCTTGTGTTAGTGCTGCCCAGTTACCTTCGTCTTCCTCCTCCTCCTCCTCTTTCAAAAAAAAAAAAAGTGTTCAAATTGTTTTGAAGTTTTCCAGGTTTTCCCTGTTTACGTGTGAGTTAACCAGAACTGCTGAACGCTGTTGAAGAAAGTCTCACTGTGCATCTGACTTTCTCCACTATAAATTTATGCTGAGCTCATACAGCTTTGCTCTTTCCTCTGCAAAAGTTAATTACTTCAATACCCTCATAACCACACTCTCCTGCGAACCCAAACGACTATTTCACACATTTAACTCTCTTCTTCGCCCTGCTGTTCCTCCTCCACCTACTAACTTGACCGCTTCAGACTTTGCAACTCACTTCACTGACAAGATCTCTACAATCAGAGAAGAGATCTCTCATCTTTCTTCTTCCCCTTACAATACTTCCCCTAACTTCACTCCCTCTGCTGTTCTATGTTCATTCACATCCACTACATTGGAAGAGGTTTCTGCTCTGCTCCAGTCCTCCTGCCCCACCACCTGCTCCCTAGATCCAATTCCCTCGCATCTCATCCGTACTCTGTCTGCTTCTCTTTCTCCACCTCTCACTAAAATTCTCAATCTCTCTCTCTCCTCTGGTATATTTCCATTGCCCTTCAAACATGCAACTGTAACCCCAATTCTAAAGAAGCCCAATCTTGACCCTAACTCCCCATCCAACTATCGTCCTATCTCGCTACTGCCTTTTGCATCCAAGATCCTTGAAAAAATTGTGTATGCGAGATTGACAGACTTCCTCGAGTCCAACTCTCTGCTAGACCAGCTTCAGTCTGGTTTCCGCGCTAAGCACTCTGTGGAAACGGCACTGACCAAAGTATCCAATGATCTACTCGCTGCAAAATCTCGTGGTCACTACTCTATCCTAATTCTCGTTGACCTATCTGCGGCTTTTGACACTGTTGATCATCAACAGCTTCTTCTCATCCTCCGCAATATCGATCTACAAGAAATTGCTCTCTCGTGGTGCTCCTCCTACCTCTCCCAGCGCTCTTTCTTTCTCTGGCTCTGCTTCTTCTCCCCAACTCCTCTCTGTTGGTGTCCCCCAAGGTTCAGTCCTTGGTCCCCTACTATTCTCCATCTATACTGCCTCCCTTGGTAAACTCATTAGCTCCTTTGGCTTCCAATATCATTTCTATGCAGATGACACGCAAATCTACCTGTCCTCTCCTGATCTCTCCCCGTCCCTCTTGACTAGTGTCTCTGACTGCCTCTCTGCTGTTTCTAACTGGATGGCTGCCCACTTCTTTAAACTAAACTTGACCAAAACTGAAATTCTGGTCTTTCCTCCCTCAAGTGTTGCTACTCCTGTGTCTGTCTCCCTCCAAGTCAATGGTGCTACCATCAGCTCACCCACGCAGGGTCACTGCCTAGGTGTTCTCTTTGACTCCGACCTCTCCTTCAAGCCTCATGTTCAATCTATCGCCAAATCCTGTCATTTCCATCTCAAAAACATTGCGCGCATCCGCCCCTACTTAACGCCAGATGCGACTAAGGTGTTGGTCCATTCCACTGTCCTTTCTCGGCTTGAATACTGTAATCTGCTTCTCAGTGGTCTTACGTGCTCCCAACTAGCACTGTTACAGTCCATAATGAATGCAGCGGCAAGGCTCATCTTCATGTCCGCCCGCACCTCCCATGCCTCACCCTTCTGTCAGTCCCTACACTGGCTTCCTATAAAATATAGAGCTCAATTTAAAATTCTGGTTCATGCTTTCAAATCTCTGCATAATGCTGCTCCCACCTATCTATCCTCCCTTATACATAAGTATGTCCCGTCTAGGCCCTTACGATCTGCTGAAGACTTACGTCTATCTTCTGTCCGTACTCCCACCTCTGATGCTCGCCTTCAAGATTTCTCGAGGGCTGCACCGTTCCTGTGGAACTCGCTTCCCTCCTCCGTTAGATGCTCACCCAGTCTCCACTCCTTCAAAAAATCGTTAAAAACCCACTTCTTCATAAAAGCGTATCAGTTAAACTGTTAATAGCTCCTGACTGATTCCTCTTCTGCAACTGTCACTAGTCTAATACTATCCTTACCTTTTTGTGTCATTTTACCCCACTCCCTCTAGCATGTAAGCTCATTGAGCAGGGCCCTCAACCCCTCTGTTCCTGTGTGTCCAACTTGTCTGGTTACAACTACATGTCTGTTCGTCCACCCATTGTAAAGCGCTGCGGAATTTGACGGCGCTCTATAAATATCATAATAATAATAATAATAATAATTTATGTACAGTTGAAGTGTACTGTAACATGTATGAAAAGTCTGCCATGTTTTAAAAGTTCATGTGTGATGTTTTAAAAGTTGAAGTTGAAGTTAGGCAGTCCCCCTTCAGGCAGCACTATGGACACCTATTGCAGCCATGTGATGGCTCTTTCAGAGCCATCGTATGGCCCGCGGTGGCCTAATTTGCAGAGGAGGGGCTGTCTGGGCTGTCAGGCAGTCCCCCCAGACTAGGAGCAACACCGACCGCTGTCGGGGGAACGGTGGCGATCGGGTAAGTAATAAGGACATGCCTTGTACGTTCGCGGTTCTTAAGTACCGTTCTTTTATCGTACGTACCTAGTACATCTGCGGTCCTTAAGGGGTTAAAAGGGAGGAAATTAATTTGCAAAAACACATATTTGTGACATTACCTCTGTCAAATAGCCTTCCAACAC